CCTAATTTTTTTAAGGTTTTACGATGCGAGAAAAGTCCGGCCACTGGCAGGGCAGAGCATTGACTTGGAACAACTAAGATGGAATAGTCTGTCTCATTTAATTTAATTTTAATATGACTTTTACAAGAACCTTTTTTACATTCAAATTTTTAGAAAAGTTTTTCCTTTGGATAACTTTTTTTGTTTAGGGGCATTATGGCATTTGAAGAGAAGGGCAATTACTTGTAAATTGACAAAGAAGTCCTTCGATATGTCTAAAGGCTTTAAATCAGGGGGGGGAAAAAAAGGATGGATAGTGGAGAATCCTGGCTTTGGTCTGGGCCCTAGTCAAACTTTATAGTACGGAGGTATATTTCACTTTCTCTAATAAGTGAAACCGGGGACCCATCCTCGCTTTCGAGGTAGAAACACTGGTTTTTTTAATCCCCCCTGAATTCACGAGACTTGTCTCTTGAACTTTCGGGGGCTTCTCTGACTCTACAGAAAGAGGATCTGAAAAAAACCCCATGTCCATCTTGGTGATGAAAAATCAACCCAGAAGGAAAATGGCACCTTTTACATTACCTTTAGTAAGGAAAAAAGAAGTTGGGGGCTAGTCGGCTTCAAACCCAAACCGTGAACCCTTTTTGACCTAATGTAAAACGGAGGTAGGAAAAGTTCCGTACGGCCCAAGTGTCTGAAATATGCGGGAAGATTTCTTTAAGGTTGGGAAAGTTATCAAAAAAGACTATACTTGCATCCAGTGTCTCGTAAAAGTAGATACATTAAATCCATTAAATTTTCCCGAAAAAGAAGGGTGCTTGTCATTTCAGTTTTAACATCTTCCAACTTTTTTGGGCCTTTTAGAAGGAAATCTGGCGTTATGCCCCCCAAAACCACACAAATGACAAACAGGGAAAAAAAATCATTTTTTTTTTTCCCCTAGAGGCTTTGATTTCTTAAGTCTGATGAACCCTTTCCCTTAGGGTTCACCTTTAGGTTTTTATAGGAATGTGAGCCCCAGCTACGGTCAGAGCCCAGCCTTTTCCCCGCCCTTTTAAAAGGTTACGTTCTCTGATGAAAGTTGTATCTGATGGGGAAGAGCGTCAGGAACGGGCAGCAACCTGAAATCTCTAAAAATCATAACTCGATCAAATTTCCAACTCTCTATCCAAAGTCGAACAAAAGAAAGAGTGTAACCTTAACTGCTGAAATTTGGGGGGGCTGTAAGGTGGCATACCTTAAATCTTTCCTGTAAGAATTTGTGGTTTTTTATATGTTTAAGATTGCCTTCTTTCAGTAGGTTTAATTACATTAAAATCCCTGGCCAAAATTGCAAAGATATTCAAGGCTGTACGAAAATAAAAATTTCCCAACCTGGTACCCCGGTGTCGCAGGGCCAATTTACAAGGGTAGCAGTATTTTTAAACCTGATAATTTGAAGTTATGTCTTCCCCCCCTGTGAAGGGGTAAATTAGGTGTTGGATATGTGCATGCTGCATGTGTCATTACTCCTTCCTCTAATTGTTTTGGTAAGAGTTAACTTTTTATTCCTAATTTAAGGGGAATTTTTTTGAGCTCGCGATCCTTTTCCTATTAACTCAAGTTCCAGCTTTTTCCTCACGTATTTTGCCTGTTCCCACGTATTTTAGACGTTCCTCCGTTCTCTAGCTCTTTTTTCACGTCAAGTCTATCACGCCCTTTTTTTTTTCCTTTATTTTCTGTCTTTCTTGGATTTCTTCTCAAAATTTTCTCTCCTTTTTCTCCTGTCTTTCAAGGTTCTCTTTTTCCTTTTTCTCTTCTCTTTTTGTTCCCTCTTCCCCTTTTTCTCTTTCTTTCCCCTTTTTGTCTCTCTTCTCCTCAAAATTTTTTCTCTTTCAATCATTCCCGGTTCTTAGCACAAGAAAGATTCCCAAAATTTTTCCCCGTTATTTCCCAAATTACTTCCAGCGTTCATCCAAAAGGTATTCCCCAGTTGCAAAATAATCAAACTCTCAGGGGGGAAAAGAAAAATGGTATTAAAGAAAAAAGGGGGGGTTTAATTCCGCCCCGCTCAAAATGGAAATAAACCCGGGGGTCGATCCGCTTCAATTAAAAAAAAGTATTAAATTAAAAAGAAGGGTTCTATCCAGCTGAGCAAACGTAAATAAATGGGGTCACTTGCCATCCCAAATTTTTCCCCAACAAATCAAGGTGCCTTGACATTCCCTTTATAAATAAAAAGGTCAATGAAACAAATTGTCACTGGAAAAACCGGGTCCCAGGTTTAATCCCCAAAGTGTTTCAAGCCAACAAAAAAAGAGCAAATTAACTAGTATTCTGCCTTGACTTTTACAATAAATTGGACCTAACAATCACCAAATTTTTTTAAAACCTGTATGTTCCTACCATAGAGAAGATTTTCCATGGGTGGGGGTAACCCCTCTTGGTATGCGGCGTTGACTTCCAATGGAAATTTTGAGATGGGTTGAATCTTGTTCAGTAGATTATCCCGGCAAAGGTCGCCACTTGTGAAGCTTAAGCCCCGTAAAAACTTCGACAGTATTACCCCGGCTTGCTCCTCTCAGGAAAATTTTTGAAAAGAAAAGAATTTAAAAACAGACATAAACATTTATAAAAAAAATAAAATATAAAACACAATAGGGAAAAATTAATCCTACATTAAAGAAAATAAAAAAGAAAAAAAATTTAAAATTTTAATAAATTTTAACGCAATTTAAAACTTGGGTGTTGTGTTTGGGGAACTGTTTGTTGAAATTGTGCCGTTTCTGATGATAGGGGGTGGGGGGTCGCAGGTGTTGGTTACAACCCCCGGGTTTGTTTTCCAGTATAGCCGTGAGTATTTATCCCGGTGACAGGAAAAAAGGTTCTTTCCACTGCAATGGAGGGGTTTCGTCCTGCAAAATTTCATACGGGCACAGGGAATTTAAAAACCAAAAAGGGGGAAGTTCGGAGTTTGTCCATCTCCCTCAGTTTACTCGTTTTTTGGCAGGTGACCCTCTCGTCATCCAAGCTGGGAAATAGACAGGTTACCCACTGCTTAAGAATCACTTCCAGATAAATACAATACCTAAAAGATGTGGTGATTATTACAACAGTCAATTAGAGCAAGTAAAAAAGGACTAAGTTTATTATTGGTAGAAGTGAGCTTTTTAAACCATAAATCCACTAGAATACAAGGCAGGCATGTACTTACAGTTCTGGGGGTGTGAGTCTAGGATTACGTTTGGCCAAGGGCCCCACACGTCACCTTTCGGGGGGGGGGGAAGAAAAAGGGGGAAGGGTAGCGGGGCTTTTGGTTACCCTCCTTTAAAAGTAGCCGGGGAATGAAAAAATTGTTTAATTTGTATTTTAAAAGAATTTTTTAAAGGGAAAAAATGTTTTGTGTTAGGGAATAAGGGTTAGGAATAAGGTAGTTAAATTTAGGTGTTTTATTGTTAGGGGGAAAGGGTTTCTGACTTTTCTAGGGCAGCAATTTCACCTGCCTTGAAAGGTGCTGTTAGGTGCACAATATTCCAGCCTGATAGAACAAAAGACCCGAAAAGTGTATCGGGCTTGGTTTTCCAGTTTGAAGGTTCCTTTCCCTCCGTCATTTTTCTAGCAATCATTGAACAATGTTATGGTCCTTGAAGGTGAGATCTCCCACTGATCACTCCCAGGGCTTTGACCGTTGGTTTTCGCTCTATTTTGTGGCCAGAATTTGTTTTTTCTGATGAAAATTTAATTTCCTCAGTTTACCATACTGAGTAATTTGAAATTTCTCATCGTTAAATTCTATTGTTTTCAGCAGCCCACTGAAAAGATTTGGGTTGGTCGTCCGCCTGGAGCCTTGCAGTGTCTTGCAATGGACGACACTGTCATGCAGTATGGTTAGATAAGGTCCTGTGGTTAGGTGTCTCAAGGAGTGGGTTAGGTGAGTCTTGAGAGACTAAGGTTAGGTTAAAGGAGAGCCTTTCAGTTGAGAGAGTTGGTAGAGTGATTGGTTGCTCTAGGAATGAAGACATCTGGATGTGAAGGTGTGCATGAGAGAGAGACGAGAGAGAGGAGAGAGAGAGGGAGAGAGAGTGAGAGAGAGAGACGAGAGATACGTAGGAACATTAATTAAATCAGATATATGACAACACACAGTTAAAACTAGATTTAAGATATCTGGAAGTAAATATATTTTATTTTGGCTCCTGTAATTGATGTAGCAGTTTTAGTGACCGTGTTAATGGAAACTTTTTTATTATTGAGTATTGATTTATTACAGTTTTATTGAGTATTGTTTACGTGTCTCCCAAAAGGGTGTTTCTAGAGTAAATGACTATTTTTTTTTTTTTCCTTTTTCCAAGCCTTCCGTGAAATACCTTCGGAACGACTCTTCTGATTGGCTTCAAACCTTTAACTCTGGTGTAGCTTACCTAGACAAACGAGTAGATTGTTATAGAGTGGTACAGCTTCTAATTTTCAAATTTTATAACATTATTAAAAGCAGTGGCTGGAGAATGCCTCTTCCATGCGACTTCAAATTTTCAGTGTTTATGTTGTTGTTGGGGTATATAGGGCCACTGACAGCATACGCCGTATCGAGCCCTTTCAGTGTTGATGTTTTTGTTATCCTCAACGGAAGCAGCTGTAATTAGTACACGAAACCTCTGAATAGAAAGAAGGTTCGTTTAGCTCAGCCGAATCACTTGCGCGCTTCATGTTATGGGGATACGATAAAGCTCATGAAGCAGAGATTGTGGACCTAGTAGCGACTAGCGAAGAGACGGGGCCAGGAGCTGTGAATCGACCCCTGCATATTACAAAACGTTTCGGTCCTGGACCCAGGACCGAAACGTTTTGTAATATGCCCTAGTGTTGGCTCACGTGTCTAAATCAATCCTAAGTAGTAGTAATATTACATTGATGCGAAAGTGCTGAATCCATAAGCGTCATGCAGTGCCTGATAGATAATCAGGTTTGAGTTGTTCAGAGTAGACGCGGGAGCTGGAAACTTTGGGTATATACGGGTGACCTGTCTTTCCCTTCAACAGAGCCGGCTACAAGGTGACAGTGACGGACACCTCCGACCCAGACTGGTGGCAAGGAAAGTGTCTGGGCAGGACCGGCTACTTCCCCTCCAAGTATGTGACCCGACTCAACGGTGGTGAGAAACCACTCCAGGTCACTCACAACCTGCAGGTCACTGACGGCGATAACGGCATCAAACTCCTCAGAGACCAGGTGAGGCAAAAGTCAGGTCAAACTGCTTTCCTGCGACAAGATGGCCCTCCCCCCAAAAAATATATACAGAACGGAAGGGGGCAATGTCTTTATCATTTGGTGGTTACAATCAAGGGTGATGTCACTGAAGACAAGACACCTTGCAAAACATGCTGTAATCGGGACTATGTTTCCCACTTTTGGAGCTTGATAGAGTCGTAAAGCTTTCACTCAAAGCTTGTACTTCAACGTGCCATTTTTTTATAGTATTGTCAGCAGTACACAGTTTTGATCCATCTATGGGGATAGCAGTAGTGCCGAGATTATCAGTAGCAGAAGTACTTGTAACCAAGCCTAAGTCTAGCTACTACAACATCAGGTTAAAAATAAAGGCCACTACTAGCAATGAAGTTCTTTGTACAATGTTTCATCAATGGACATTATGATTCAGAGTAGTATCACGTTATCCAAAATCAAGCTTTTTTTCTAATGCTGTCTATTATTTCTCTGCCGGATTTTAGATGACTCATTTTTTTCTGATTTCTCTCCGACAGATCGTCATTCAGATCGGAGAGGAGGTTGAGGGTATGGTGATGATCCGCAACGGTGACAATCAGCAAGGTGTCTGTCCACTTAAGTACCTGCAGGAAGCTTGAATCATGTGCACACACACTGGCGGGCCACATTACTTGTGCACATATTCCTCCTCCTCGTTATGTCAGTGACTCTTCAGTGAGATATATGCCATACTGTGGACTCCTATTAAATAAATAAATAAATTATATATATATATATATATATATATATATATATATATATATATATATATATATATATATATATATATATATATATAAAGAACAAATTGGAGAATTTCCATGACAATACATAATTGAAAATAAGAATTATATTGTAGTTAAAGAAAAAAAATGCGTAAAAGTAGGGGGCAGCAGCAGCACTCGAGGTAGGCCGAGTGAGCACCGCGTTGGAGTATGGTTGGGGCTTTCAAGTAAAGTGCTTGACCCTCGTCGTGTGGGTGACGCCGAAGACTGTGACATTCATTCCTGAGCATTAGTTGTTGTTGTTGTTGTTGTTGTTGTTACTGTTTAGCTCTTTTGCACATAAATGTGGTATTCACTACACTTTTTTTTTTTTTGAAAGCTGACCGTGGTCGTGTTTGCACTGGAAATTGCTCCTTACAACAGTGGATGTCCACCATGAGGTAGAGCAGAAAAAATCTCTCCCATGTTCCTCTGTACCTGTACATCTCTCCCATGTTCTTTTGTACTTCCAGGCTGCACACTGCAGCAAGGACCTCTAAACCACTATGAATTTGTAGCCTATGTCGCAAGGGGGAAATTATCATTATGGTTAATGAGATGAAGCTGAACTAGCAGAGGAAAGGAAGCCAGGCCACTCCAGCTACTTAAAATACACCTTCCGAAAATCTTTGAAGGTAAGATAGACTTTATAACCTTGTAATACTACGTTCATGGGAGGGCATAACCCATGTTTAGTCTGTAAAATCTTACACTATCATTTGTATTGCATTTAAAGGGGATCACGAGACCTGTGTGGGTCGTACAAGTATTGGGGGATGAGAGATGCTCTGTAGAGATGCCTAGATGTTGGCGAGGAGTTCTTGATCCAGACAGTTGAAGCCATCTTGCTTTCCCATGGATCGAACCTGTCTCCCCCCCCCATACCAGTAGGAACTGTATGAATCCCATGTGATCCTCACTTTCCCTTTAATATAATAATCGGTGTGAAGTGCCATGATACTTGAGCCTAGTGAGAGTAGCTACATTTCCTTGGATCAAAAGCCCTTTATCAGCATTAGGCTGGTATAAATAATCTTAAATCTAGGGTTTTATTTCGCCTTTTTTTTATTTTTTAGCTTTGGTCGGTATATCTTAAACACTTCAGTGGAATCTTAAAAAAAAAAAAAACCACTTTGTGCATGGACAGCATATTAAAAATTTAGCGCTAAACCCGTATGGGCCATGCAGCTGTGGTTTTTTTTTTAACTATTTAAAAAGAAGTTACATTACTTATTTAATTAGAAAGAATTATTTAAATTTAACTATAGTGAAATACCCTATGTAAATTTCTAAAGATTTCCATTTAGGGCAAGAATATTTCAAACTGCTGAAATGTGGATGAGGGTAAGAAAGGGAAAGTTTTCCTTTTGCTATGCAATCTTTTTTATTCTCTCTCTCTCTCTCTCTCTCTCTCTCTCTCTCTCTCTCTCTCTCTCTCTCTCTCTCTCTCTCTCTCTCTCTCTCTCTCTCTCTCTGGCTGGGAAGGTTATGTAGGTCATTCGTAGCATCTGTCTGGCAGTCAACAGGGATGTATGTCAGTAGCAGAATATACCGATAAGTATTTGAACAAGATACAATCTGATGTTTATGGTAGTCTGTTGTGAAGATATATCGTCCACACTATGGACCGCGTCACCTAGTAAAAGTCCCTGGTGAGCGGAACGTTTTCTCAATAAAACACCATAACCTTCATCTTGTGTCTTAATCAGCAGTCAAGGATGTCCAGTTTCAAGCAGGGCTACGAGGCCAGTAGAAACCCTTGAAACCTGTAATAAGCCACATTGTGTGTCGGGCATTAGCCAGTAAAATGCATTTAGGTAATGGAAAACGTGAGATCATGAGTTCATTATTTGCATATTTCGTATGTAAGCGGATACATACAGTTTACACAAGCACCGTTGATGTAACTGACCGAAGAATTTTTTCAGGTTCCTATGCTGTCAGCTCGAGGAATTTAAATGGTTTTTTTTTATATTTCAGCTTGGAAACTTGACTCGCCTTCTCTTCGATAACGCCTTTCCCCTGAACAATGCCTTCTCGAGCGACCACCACCTCTACAACCTTGTCCAAGCCCACGACACTCTTCGGAATCTTGCTTCTTTTTTCAGCACTTCTACCCTCGTATACTTAATCTTTCCTCTTAGTCTCGCTGAGGCTCTGTGACCAATCCTTCGAGGTTTGCGTATGATAATAGGCAATAATTTCTATATTTTGATAGTCTCCTTTTATATCCAGGCTATTTCTTGCTAACCCCCCCCCTCCCTCTTCCTCCCTCCCCCCCTCACATCCTAGTTGATCCTATTCCTCCACAGCCTCTTCTTTTTAGGTTCAGCTCTCCTTCCTCATACCGTGTCCTTGAAAATCCCGGCTAGTTTCTATGTTGTCTTCGATCTTCGATGCTGACTACCCGGTGCTACCCAACTATTCTTCGTGTGTGAACCATATACCCTTTATTGTACAGTCTCTCTCTCTCTCTCTCTCTTCTTCTCTCTCCTCTCTCTCTCTCTTCTCTCTCTCCTCTCTCTCTCTCCCCCTCTCTCCTCTCTCACACACACACACACACACACACACACACACACACACACACACCTTCCCTCCCAGGCATTCCTTTACTAATATATATACACAAGCTGTTATCCCCTACTGCATCTCTAGATATTCTCTCCTTCATACTCTCTCCATTCGTAATTCCATAAGACTTATAGCTCGACCTTCACGGTAAAGTAGCACCTGGATAAGAGATCCTTGTCCCTGTTATCCAAGTGACTCTGTTATCCATTCCTGCTTTCCTCGTTACCTGACAAATAGGATAAACAATGAGCTTATATAAAGATGTAATTTTCAACGATATTTTTACATATTTAAAGATATATTTAGAATCTTTCTATAACCCTCGGTATTTTAAGAAAAAAAGAACCCTTAATTTGGTCCCTAAGGTTGTGAAACAATATCCAAAAATTTATTAGAAATATTATAATACGGCTAGAACAGATATAGAAAAAAAATTATTTTTTAATATAGAACATCGCCAGTTATTGTAGGTAAAAAAAATATTTTTTTTTTTTTACACATTATTGCCGTCATTATAATTTCATTTACAGCAGTGCTCGTTTTCCGTTCATTCACACTTCCCATCATTGCCCCCCAAAAAATTAAAAAGACTTGATAGATGTGCAAATAACTATTAATTTGAGGAATCCTATTGTTTTTTTACAATCTTAGTGAATTAAGAGATATAATGGTTGTGTCAACTCCTTTAAGTATATCATTAAGTCTTGAATTTTGACAGGATAAACACAGGCTCCAGTTACTGTGTGATGATGATTCTCACAGAGAGTATAGTACTGTGGCACACCACAAAACTCATTGTACCATCCTTATGTAATGTAGCTCTTGAACCGCGTACTCGCGCGGTAGCCTCTGTACTTCGTTACAGTACAGTATAATCCGACAGTGTATTCTACAGTAGCTGTAATTGTACACTGCACGTATGCTGTGTCAATATCTCATGTGTTGCAACAGTGTATATGATTACACATGACTACACATTAACATACACGACTGCGCATGATTGTACATGCCTACGCATGAATATACACAGCCCCCACATCACTGTACATGAATGTACATGATTGTACACGATTACACGTGAGTATACGTAAGTAAATATGACTACAAATCGCTATACATCCTGGCAGAGAAAAGAAAGTGTGCCAGATCAGTGTGCAGTTGTTGACTCATGACGGTGCAGCAACAGTGACAATGTTTTCCGACACATCAACACTGTGGTTCTGACACCCTACATCAATCCACTGTGATTTCTGACACCTTACATCAACACTGTGGTTTTTGGCACCTTATATCAAGCATACTGTGGTTTCTGACACCTTACATCAGCACACTGTGATTTCTAATACCTTAAATCAACACACTGTGGTTTCTGACACCTTACATCAACACACTGTGATTTCTGACAGCTTACATCAACACACTGTGGTTTCTGACATCTTACATTAAAAATCTGTGGTTTCTGACACAGCACAATGTGGTTTCTAGCACATTTTTCATCAATACACTGTGGTTTCTCACACCTTTTTCGTAAGAACATAAGAAAGGAGGAACACTGCAGCAGGCCTATTGGCCCATACTAGGCAGGTCCTTTACAATCCCTCCCACTAACAACATATTTGTCCAACCCAATTTTCAATGCTACCCAAGAAATAAGCTTTGATGATTCTATTTACTCATTATGCAAGTCTCACTCAAATCCAATCCCTCTCACTCATGTATTTATCTAACCTAAATTTGAAACTACCTCTAACCTAAATTTGAAACTACCAAATCATCAACACTGTGATTTCTGACACATCAGTACACTGGTTTCTGACACCTTACAGCAATACACTGTGGTTCTGATACCTTACATCAACACTGTGGTTTTGACACCCTACATCAACACTGTGGTTTCTGACACCCTACATCAACACTGTGGTTTCTGACACCCTACATCAACACAATGTTGTTTCTGACACTACATCAACACTGTGGTTTCTGACGTCTAACATTAGTTACATGTTTTTTTCTAACAGCAAGATGAAAAATGTATTCTCTTGATAACTCGTTACTCTAATATCCACTTGCACACCTTTTACACACACACACACACACACACACACACACACACACACACACACACACACACACACACACAACACACACACACACTACACACACACACACATACACACACACACACACACACACACACACACACACACACACACACACACACACACACACACACACACACACACACACACACAACACACACACACTTCGACCTAGTAGCGATCAGTGAAGAGGCGGGGCCAGGAGCCGAGTCTCGACCCCTGCAACCACAATTAGGTGAGTACAATTAGGTGAGTACACACACACACACACACACA